CATAGTGATGTAGACATGTGGGGGCGTGTTTAAACGAGGAGTTTTAGGTAGGTGTGGACGAGTCTTAACTTTTATTAAGAATATCTCTTTGGGTTTGAGACTTTAGTCTTTGCAACTTTAGGGATCTTATCTATTCACGAACAGCTTGTAACACTCCAAAGAGAAAGGAAAACTTGAAATCACATCATATGACCCCTTTAAAAATCTTACCGATCCCAAACTTTTGAATGGCAGTGTAAATACATATTATCTTATACAAACGCAGCTCTTACTTTTCCTCTTTAGATTTGTTCCGGTTCTTCTCCGTTTTTCCTCTCCTTTCTTTTTCTTCTGGCCCCAATGGTCGCCTCCCATCTCTCATCACACGGGCACAGAGGTCAGGGTAGTCCAGGCACACAGCTCGCAGTAGCCATCTGAGACCTCGCAGGGTCTTTCTGTCTGACCAGCGACGCAGGTCCATTGAGGCAGAACATGGCTCCTGTAGATTAAGAACAAACCGCTCAAAATGCACTATAATAAAACTACTGGTAACCAGTCAGAATGTTGCCATAAACTTTAACATGACATATCGTCAGTTCCCTTACTATGTCCTGGAGGTTAATCATACGTTTTGAATATGTCAGAATGTTTATTGTTTCACAGTACTCACAATGTGGCAAAGGGAACGGCTCTGGTTGACCAGCCTCTCTAGGGAGAGAATTTCAATGAGTTCATTTCCCAGAAGAGAATTCATTTTGTCCTGTTTATTTGCCAGCCTGTTATGAGATATAGAGGTGGCCAAAATAAGCTGGATTGCAGGCAAAATTCTAAAAGTCACCTATTAGACACATGGTTTAGTACTGCTATTTGTACCTTGATAATACTGAATTTTATATTGATTTTAAAAACTGGATAGCTTGGAGCATTGTTAAAGAAAAGTATTTTAAAAATATTATATGATTTATAATAACCTGATATATTTTCTTCAAAAAGATGATTTAATAATTATAGAAGTTTCTTACACAAGAAGAGGTTTTCCTGCTACTCTTGGATGCTTCAGTAAGTTCACCAGAGCTTCTCTGACCTCTTTCATTCGTTGTCTATCACTGGAATCCACCACAAAGATGATGCCGTGAGCTTCACCGTAATGCTCTCTCCAGGACCCCCGAACCTCAGGAGCCCCTCCCATATCCAGTAAGTTAACCAAATAGTTCTCCACCCTTAATTCAGTGCAGACACATACGTGAGTGGGACCTACATCTCCAGGGGGCACTGAACAAAGTTACATAACATTAACACTCAACAAATTGATGTCAGTTTAGCAGATCTCTCACTTATATACTTATACATTTATTAAATGTACCTAAATTACCTCTTAACATCCCTCTGACACAATATGTTTTTCCAGCTTTGTCCAAGCCAACCACTAGAACAGTGATCTTCCTAGAAGATGTTAAAACAAGGTTACTTCAGTGGAAATAATAATTTAATATGTGGCATTTGTTGATAATAGGCTGACCTCTTCTGATCAGCAACAACAACAACAACAACAAAATAATATAGAATTGTATAGGATTTGCTAGGCTGACAGGTACCTCAGTGGTTGCTGGAGTTTGGAGACCCAGCTGCAGCAATTGCTCATGAGGTTGAACATGTTGACCTGAGGAGGAGAACACCAGGGAGAGAACCATTGTCTCCTTAACTCGTACCTGAGAGCAGATAACAGGGATGCTCGATCATTTGAGAACCTGGACCACAAAACCAGTCTTAAGTCGCTGGGGTATATTTGTAGCAATAGCCAAAAAAACATTGTATGGGTCAAAATTATCGATTTTTCTTTTATGCCAAAAATCATTAGGATATTAAGTAAAAGATCCATGAAATGTTCCATGAAGATATTTGGTAAATTTCCTACTGTAAATATATCTGATTAGTAATATGCATTGCTAAGAACTTCATTTGGACAACTTTAAAGGCGATTTTCTGAATATTTTGATTTTTTTGCACACTCCGATTCCAGATTTTCAAATAGTTGTATCTCGGCCAAAGATACATATTGTCATACCCTAACAAACCATACATCAATGGAAAGCTTATTTATTCAGCTTTTAGATGATGTATAAATCCCAATTTCAAAAAATGGACCCTTATGTCACATTTGTACTCATGGCCTCAGAATACATGTAAACCTCAGCTGTTGTGTCTCGACAGGCATTAACCTTAAGAATTAGGGATTCATTAGTTACATGAATTTCTGACACCCACACCTACCCCGTAATACCTGGAATGCTTGAAAATTAACAGCATGGTAAAATATAGGATCAGTTTTTTTATTTAAGGTTATAACACACTTCATTTTACAACAAAGCTAAATAACAAAACCTCTAGTCTTCTTTTCATACTTAAGAATCAGCATAAGCCAACATTTTTCAGCATTTGGCCTTTATAAATTCATGGCTTTAAAAGATCAAAACACTGCAAAAGAGCTGATTAGGCTTTGTTTTTGAGCCAACTAGCAGAATAAGCTGTTTCATGGCAAAATAACCAGGTCATATTCAGATAGCAGCTGCCTGTCCTCAGATGTAGTCACACAGTAGTCTAATTACATTTACAGGTGCCTGAGATGTAGGAAGATTTGCGATCTCTGTGCTTGGTCCATCAATGTACATCTGTTCAGTCCCATAAGCCTTTAAAGAGTAGTCTGAGTCAATTACGCTGTTCTCCTTCTGAACACTTGACCCCTTTACCCAAGCAGCATGTGCTGCTGTAGCCCACCGATCAATTACTCTCTATATTTGGAAATGTAAAATAAGTGTAAACATTTTTTCTACATAATAAAACTTTCCGACTGATACCTATAATTAAGGATGCTACAAATGTCAGTTCTAAACTGCATATTTGACTATAGATACAGGGCATCAACATGCTAGTGTGGATTATAATACAGACTGTAAACTGATTATAGGACCAAAAACTCTGAAAAGTTTCAGAGTGTTTGGAGACCACTATAATATTCAGTGTAGTCCTCTGCACGATCACATGTGATCATAAACAACATTAATGAGTATACAGACATATGCAGAGCAGATAATACAGCAATCATATATATAGAGAATAGTCAGTGAAAAAATAAATAAAACTATCATACATTACTCACAGTAGTATGTCAGACTCCATGCGTTTTTGTTCGTCTCTCCAGAGACATTTTGCACAAGTCTGCTAAAAACTAATCAGGCTCTACTTATTCCTCTAATCCTGTCACCTCATGTGGGAGGAGCTTAGAAGGAACACCATCAAATCCTTATAACCAATCATATGGGAGACAGGTGACAGCTGCCATTCTGAATGGTTTTATCTGGGCTAAATGTAGACATCTGCCAGGTTATTATAGGCCAAATATACGTAAACATCCTCACAAATATTTAGAATTTTAGCTATATGAGTTATATGAAAAGTCCATAGACATCTGCTTTGAGGTAAATGAGAAATATTTTATCTACTACTCAGTCTAATACACATTATTGTGGAGCATCATAGCGTGATGACATTTACACACCACTGGCAGATAAATAATCCAAGGGACGCAGGCTCACTTGTACGTGCTTCTAAAATCTCCACCTTCTGAAGACTATTGCTGCTGCTTAACCAGAGTTAAAATCAACATTAGATTAAAATGGACAAGTCTTATTTTTTATGGAATACTGCAGTAGGCTATTGTAAATTATTTATCCGTGCACATCACTATTTTTTCATTCATGTCCCCTCTTAATCTTTCATCAAAAACATTAACTTCCCCTTCCCCTTGAAACAACATCTATTCTCTGATGACGTGTGCATCAACGGCGTAAGAACTGGCCAGTAATCCATCCTGTCCTGTCCACCAACCTGTCACTCATATGAGGTCACAGCAATTAGCAGACAACAACGATCCAATTAAATCCTGATGGATTCCCAGTGGGGGAATTTCCCACCCTACGTTTTTTTTCTTGTTTGAGAAGCCGTTTCACTCAGATATACATCACAATAGGGAAAAAAGACATTCCTAACTTTCATTTCATGCTGACATTATTACAGAAAACTAGAAAGGCCTGTTCAAACCAAGGATGGTAACTATAATGATAATGATAACTATAAAGTTTTAACTCATTCTAATTCCACATCACAGCAATAATGATAACGAGACAGCCAATCAAAATCCACCTTTAAAGAACTTAAGCTTGTAAAGACAACAAAACCTCTTTAATATAAATATAAATAATGTGAATAATATAAATATAAATAGTCATGTGCATAGTTTTCGTTCTTCGTGTGAACGGCTTTTAGCCTGAATTTTTTTATATGAAATTTCATTGTCATTTTTAGTCGATGTATGAAGCCAAGAGAGTTCATAGCAAGTTCATCACATTAACAATTATCATCTAAATACTTTTTGTCTCAATTTTGAATAGTATTGTTTTAAAAAATGTCTTTAAAATAAATGGCACTTGGTTTGATATTTTGTTAATTCAATGGCATTCATTAATTTTTAAGTGTGGCCAATTTTTTGGAGCCATTGTATATCATCAGTGATACATTTTACAGGAAGTCTAACAGCATCACAGTATACCACAATCAATTTCAGATGAAACTTCAGTGACCTTACCATGTCTATCTTTGTGCCCTTAATTCATGTCAGGAAGACTGTAATTATGATAACAACATGTAGTTTCAGTCTCAACCCACATCAAAGTCTGCATCTATATCTGTCACTGTCACAAGATTCCAAATCAAAGGTTGTTCCGAGCACAATACACAAACTGCGCTGAATCTCAACCTTTATCTAAATCAGCTAAATTTGAATAAACAAATATGTGACATAGGCGTTAGGAATGATTATCTGCTCTAATCACTTCCTGTTTTATCAGCTGCTTTTCATTTTCCAAGAATTTTAGAATTACAGCTGAGAACATAGTGTTTACTTCTGATAAGAGTCACTGGGAGGGTCTGATAAGCTGCAGTATGGAGTTTCCTGAGGTGTATGATATAATTTTGACCACCAGGGGTCCAATTCAAGACATTTATTTTTCTGTTTAGTCATTTCAGGATCTACACTTGAAACATATTTGGTGGTGAAACAGTTTTCACTCAGAAATTGCTTGCAAGTTTCACAAATAATTGCAAAGAAACGGCAAGTAACACATGCATTTTGAAAGTAGAAAGACTGAAATAGTATTTTCTCATACTCCAATAATCTTAGTTTTTATATATAACTTTGATCATTCCTTTTTCCAGTGTATTGTTAAGAATAAAAAAAACACTTTAGGCATGCGTCCACATCTATCAATTCGAGTTATTCTCTGAAAGATCAATTTACTGAAGCTAGTTTCTACCACTTAAAACCGGATGTGAGGCAACTGCCCGAAACAAAACAAAAGCAACATCCTCTTTACTCCTCTCTAGTCTGATCTGATTAAGTCATTACTGGCAGGTGCTTACTTCATCTGCTGACTAAACTCATGTGGAGCCTTGAACGCAGATACAACCCCTTGTCAGCTGGCCATGACACAAATGGAAACAGCTCAGTGGTCATGTTGCCTGTCCTTACAGCGGCTCATTTAATACACTAGATTCCATTAATCACAAGCTGGACAACTGCATATACCACATTATCTAAGATCCAAGAATTCCACAAGCTCATGAGTTTTACTAATCGCTGCATTATCCTATGATTGACTGGGCATTTGTGAGTTTGACGACTGTGGACCTGAGTCAGAGCAGGCCAAATGCATTTGTTTACTGATCATTGCTAGTTCAGTTGAGGATGAATCTGTGGGGGTGGGAAAGCGGAACAACAGCAACAGCACTACTGTGTGCCACTCCTCATGTACTAAAGATATTCAACTGAAATGCTAAATCTATATAGTGATAATTAGATTTAAAAAAGCAATAAACATTCTTGGATGCAGGTGCTTTCAAATAGCCATTGTTAGTTTTTTACCATGTGGCAGCCATAGGCAATGGCTGTTTGCAATGGGAGTATTTACAAGGGTGGTTTATGACCATGTGAGGCCCCTGGGGCACCAGGCTCTCTCTTGAATTTCTAAATTGAGGTACAAGTACAAGAGAGTTGCAATTGTGAGAACCACCACATGTGTAATGTATTTTAAAAGCAACACCAATGTAACGTGACTATATAAAACATCAAAGCTCTAAAAGGAGATAATATTTATAATTTCTACATTTATTTAAAAGGGTGGTTGATTGCGATTTCACTTTTTTAACGTTAGTTAGTGTGTAATGTTGCTGTATGAGCATAAACAATATCTGTGTAGTTCGTAGTCACGGGAAGGAGGCGGGAACCGGCGAACATTTGAACAAAACTTTAATAATAAAATAAACACAAAATAGTGCAACAGCCCCTCGCGGACGACTGTCGCGCACATATCGTCTTTTCAAAATCTGGCAGTCTAATGCCTACAAAAATGGCTGGTAGGGACTACAACAAGTTACTTCCCGGGTTTGTAACATCAACCACCCCTTTAATACTGTTCCTCGCGTCCTCCTGCTCTGCACACGCTCTGCATCTCTCTCTCAGCACGATCCTCTTCAATAATATCCTCTGCTTCTAAATCCGGCTCAAACTGATAAGCGATATTATTAATGACGCTGTTGTTTACAATACAATACAATACATGCTGCTGAGGTGAGGGGCGGGACATTTAGACACGCACTAGAGGCGGTTGAGCCAATCACAACACACTGGGCTAGCTAACCAATCAGAGCCCATCGCCTATTTCTGAGGGCGGGGCTTCATAAAAGCAGGAAATGATCAGCCCGTTACTCAGAAAAGGGACAGAGCGGTGTGGAATAAAGGTAAATTATGTGAAAAATAATGTGTTTTTTTTTTTTAAACGAAGCATTAACACATGTTAGACTGCACCCCATAAACACAATCAAGCCTAGAAAAAAAAACAGTGACCCACCCCTTATTTTGCTAATGTTCACTGCTACAAATTCAAGCGGTGTTAGTCTGTCTGTGTATCATTTTACACCTGCAGTAGTTTGATTCTGGGTGTCAGGACATAGTGGTACTCAATTCAAGGCCCCTGCGGTCAGAGACCCATTGGCCTGGTAAGTAATATGTCCTTGACTATACAAATGTAATATGTACAACTGGACAGATGGCAAGCTAAAGCCATTTTCTCATGAACAACTGAACATACAAAAGCAATCATTATTTGCATTGCGGTTTGAGCAGAAATCAAGGAATTCAGGCTTTAAACATTTGTTGTTTCAAGAACCGTTTATCTTGTATTAGCATGATTAATATTATTAAAGAATATTACAGAAAAGGAGTGTCTAGATTACTTGTATGAAAGTATAATTGGTTATATGAAAAAAAAAACAATACTTAAATTTTTGAAAAGCATCAGATCGTGTTGTGCTGATGATCATTTTTGCTCTGCTGTTCATAAGAAAATTCATTAAGATCTGCAAGACAAGCAAAATACTATATATTATAAATTACATATTTAAGTGTGTTTATGAGGTTAGAATGAAAATATGCCCTTATAAAGGTTAAAAAATGCCCTTATATAGGTAATAATATGCTTGAAAATCATTTTGAGAGGGCAAATTTTGCACTTAATTAAAAAAAAATACATTTCTGACGCTGGTGTGATTCAGGTAATGTTTCTAAGCAAATGAATTTCACTTTCAGCACATATACATATATTTATATATTTATTAAGTACTGGTAAGTAACAGCTGGCTATATTTGTACTCCTGCATTATTCTTTTTTATAAGATATTTGTCCATAAATCTCTAAGCAGTATGTTTTTAAGCCTCTCTACTGTCCCTACCCTTGCATTTCATGTGAATAAATAGACAACCAAAAAAAGAAATGCTAATATTAAAGATATAGTATGGAATATGCAAGCCAGTGGGAACGAGCAACTGAAGGTGAACTATCCCTTTAAAGCCTCAAGGATACTGCCATCTGAACACTTGACCCACTTGATACTGTAATTGCTGCCATAAGTTTGCCCTCTTATTCAACTGCAGTGAAAAGAAGATACAGAACATAGACCTATTAAGTGTACGACCTGGGCGCGCTGGGCAGAAACCACTGGTCCGGTTGGACATCGCTGGTTTTACAGTATTCAAGTACGGATTAAAATAAACAGTGAAGTTCAGAAAAGCGCCTAGGAACAACTGCGTCGGCAGAAGGGGAAAAGTTCTGACAGGTAGAGCAGAGAACAAAAGTTTGCTGTTGTGCAGTCATGGATGAAGATTCTGAAGAATCGATAATGGAGGACAGGTCAGGATTTACGGAGGTATACTCAAGAAAGAAAAACTCAAAACGTAAGAAATCTTCTAAGGACCAAGAAGATAGTGGGGATATGGTGGTAACTACACAAGATACAATTAAAAAAAAGAACAAAGCAAATCAGGAAAATCCAAGAGAACAAATTGTACAAAATACTGAGGAGAATGGTTTC